ACCGTTCAATGTTTAAAATAATCGTACGGATTTACCAAAATTCTTTCATTATAATGAAAGAATCGTTATAACGGTTATAGCCGTTCAAATAGTTTTATTCACTTATACTGTTATGAGACATATTATCTTTTGATTAGTAAATTAATAAAAAAACTTTAAAATAATAAAGTCATAAAATGTTTTTATAATGACTATAGCGCAAATTTAACGTACGAACTTTTGGCGGAATAATCAGACGTGTCATAACCGCTGACCAACAGTTTTAGTTCGCGCGATTTTTATTTGTCATTTAATTTTTATTGTGGTATTTTTACAAATCATCAACGATTGTTTTACCTTATTACAAATTATTTTTTCCGAGACATTCGCCATTTTCACAGCGACTAGAGAACTTGTCAAGACTGCTCTTTATTCACTGTTCACCCTCACACTTATATTTAACTGAAAAGTTCAATAAAATGTAAGTACATTTAATATAAATTTTACAGTAAAGTTAAAAACAGGTATTTTAATTAATTTTAATAATAGCATATATTATTTTTTGGAAAGATAATCATACATTTTAGTAAGATGCTACAACCCGTTTATTAGGAACTACATTTATTGTAATTTTTAACAGATTACACGTGGTAAATTATTTACTAAATGTTTGTATTGTGTATTATGATTAATTATAATTATAATACAAAGTTATTTATTTTTATAAAGTACTATTGTTAGTTAATTATGTTGTTTTGAAAATAAACGATCATACAGACATCTCAAGAATTTCCATGAGCTTAAAATATTGACAATTTTTAATCGTACATCATTGTCGTCATCATCATCTCCTTAGCCTTTATCCCAACTCTTTGGAGTCGGCTCTAGCTTATTTTAATTAGTTTTATTTATTGATTTTTATTCATACACGAGAGACAAATTACTTCTGTATTTCAATATTAAAATGGTGCTTTTTATGTCTCAACATTTTATACATTGAAATACCATCTCTTAAGAAACTGTTGATTTTTAAGTGAAAATCCCTCTATTGTGCTACTCAATAATTTAAATTCACCTCACATTTTAAGTTAAAAAGGACTGCATCTATTTGAATGAGAATTATATTTCAATATTTAAAATTTTAAATGAATAAAAAGTATAAGTTTAAGGTTTTTCATCGTTCAACAATTAACAGGGTTTTATATTAAACAAGATTATCACTCGATTCATTTGTGTATATATTTGTAACCTTTATACTATTAAATTAACAAAAATTTTATACAAATCGACCAATAAAGGGCACATTTAAATCTATGAGAGACAGACTTACATGTAACCTAAGTAATTTTAAGATATAAATAAAACTATTGGCACCAGTTTCCCTTATACAAAAAACAAATCTATATACTTAGTTTGTCTAAAATACCCAATATCCAAAACATTATTATTTTATAAGTTAAATAATAATAAAAATAAAATACTTCTTATAAAATATCATGTTTTCTTTAATTTCCAATATTTTAAAATATGTCTATATAATAAGATAAAAAAAATATTTTACAAAGCATAGCCATGTACTTGATCAAACATTTGAATACTCTAACACTAAAAGGATAATTTCTATATAGTTTTTTAAATGAACTTTTTGTGTTGGCACTAAGTAGTTAATTGATTTTTAACTCAATAAACATTTTTGAACATTGAGTTCAGAGTTTAACCGGAAGTACAATAACTAATAATCATTTATCATTTACAGAAAAATATTTGAACTCCCTATATTTTTTTTTTAGAAATCTGAATGAAATACTCTTTTCTATTAAAATAGTTTTATTTAAAATAATAAAGAAATATAAATATAGTATATTTACTATTATATAATATTAAATTATAAAAATGTTTATACTCAATACATAGTTGTTAATTATTTTTTATAATTTATTTTTTTTAATATGTATATTATTTTAAATAAAATTATTTTATGGAAACATGTTTTATTCAACTTAAAAGATCATTCTATTGAAGTATTCATATCTTCATCTTTTATTTTTATTATTTAGGATATAGATACTAGAGCCTATATTAATCCTGGTGAGATACCAACTAGTTGAATAATGTTTAAACTATAATTGTAACATTATATATTAAATGAAATATGGTTACAATTCACTTATAGAAAGAAAAAACTTAAGTATAGAGCTTAAGATGGCAGTTAACCCAGATATAATTATTTTATTATATTTATTTTTTAATGAAGCGACTTCTACTTTTTTTTGTCTTGCACATAAAAGTTTTTAATTAAATATTAAAGTCTTGCGCTGTTTTATACTAACGATTCTCAAAGTTCAATTAAAATCTCTTAATATTCTTAATTGGTACAATGTTTACTTATTTCCCTTAAATTATATGTATATATTTAATTAACTATTTGTATTAAACTTAGTTTTGTAATGAAATAAAATATTATTAAGTATAAATGAAATAAATTAATTACTTTTAACTAAGGCTCATCAGGCACATAAAAATAGTTGACCAAACATACCTACATTGTATATCTTCGGGAATTTTAATTTGAGGTAAAAAAAAAAAAAAACATTAAAATAAACATTTGATATGCAATAAAAAAATATATAACTATGTCTTTTAGTTGTAATACTAATTTTAATATCTATTATTTGGCTAATGAATAAATAGCTTAATTTCCTTCAAAAATGTCACTTATAATATTGTTTTGTTAGACAACAATGGAAATTATAACTGGAAAAAAGTNTTGTTAGACAACAATGGAAATTATAACTGGAAAAAAGTCAAAATTAGCAATGAGTAAATCTTCTCGTTATCGTTTAAAGAAAAAAGCTACAAATGTAGCTGAAAAACTTCTCAATATAAATTCAAAGGATATAAATCATGAAATCCTCCAATCAACTTCTCATCAAGTAACTTCCAATATGGATTACTGCGCTTCCGTTTCCTATATAAATATTTCAAAAGACCAACAATCTGAAAATGACATACTTCATGATTTACTTAATTCACCTGATCGGAATGAAGATCTAAATGCAAACTTTTATAGTGATTACAGTGATGATGAACATATTAATCCACATTCATCATTTACTGAAACTCCAGATATCAAATTAATTTTGGCTCTTTGGTCAATTCGTAATAATATCACTCATGCTGCATTAAACGATTTATTAAAATGTTTGAAATGTTTCCCTCCATTTTCTGATCTACCAATAAATTCAAGGACCATATTAAAAACTCCAAAAACCACCGTTGTTAAGCCTATAAGTGATGGCATTTATCATTATTTTGGAATAACACAAGAGGTAAAATGTATATATTCAAATAAAAATTTACCTAAAGAGTTTTTATTAGTAGGAGGTATAGATGGATTACCTTTAATGTCAAATCCTCCAAGCCAATTGTGGCCAATTCTTGGTTACTTTTCAAATATTGATTTTTTAAAAGAATCTGTATTTATTATTGGTGCTTATTATGGTACAAATAAACCCAAAGATTGTAATGAGTATTTACTAGACTTTGTTGAGAAATTGAAACATCTATATAATGAAGGAATTATTTTTAACAATGAGAAATATACAGTTAAACTTGATGCTCTTATTGCTGATTCACCAGCAAAATCATTTGTTCTTAATTGTAAAGGACACACTGGTAAAAATTCCTGTGTTAAATGTTTAGTTGAAGGTGTGTGGTTGAATCATAGAATTCACTTTTCAGATTTGGATGCTGAACTGCGTAGCCATGAACATTTTTCTGCTTGTTTATATGAAGATTTTCACCAAGGTCACACAATCCTCACAGAAGTTTCCTATTTTGATATGATATCTTCAGTACCCTATGACTACATGCATGTAATATTAATTGGTGTAGTAAAGAAATTACTTTTATTTTGGACAACAGCTCATCATTATCACTGTCTTTCTTCGCATACTATAAAATCACTGGACGAAAATTTAATATTCCTTTCTCAGTACATTCCTGATGATTTTCAGAGAAACCCTAACTCAAGAAATCATCCATTAAAAGATGTTAATCGTTGGAAAGCTACAGAGCTACGACAATGTATTTTGTATACTGGTTTAGTGTTATTTCGAAATAAAGTTCAAAGTGATATTTATACTCATTTTTTAGGATTATCTATAGCCCTACGAATATTGCTAACAGAAAATATAGAAAAACAGTATTATGATTATGCTAAAAGTTTATTGAGAAACTTTGTTACTGCATTTGGTGATTTGTATGGATTGTGTTATGTTTCGCACAACATACACGCATTGATTCACATTACAAGTGATGCTGAAAAGTATGGTTCCCTTGAAAAAATATCTGTTTTTCCATTCGAAAATTTTATGCAACCTATAAAAAAGAAGGTAAGGTCAGGAGTTAAGCCATTGCAGCAAATTATTCGGCGATATAAGGAACACCGATCTTACTCCATTAGTTTTTCAAATTCAAAGAAAGAACCATATGGTCCAATCTGGGTAAAATGTGACAATAAAAATCGACCATTGGTGTCTGGTGTAGGAGATTCACAATACAGTGGGTGGAGAACACCTAAATTTACAATAAAGCAAATTGTTGTGTTAAACTAAAGAATATTTTAATTATGGTTATTGATAACATTGCAACTTGTTTAACAAGCAAAAAAACAATAATAATTGGTAGATGTTTTGAAAAAATTGAAAATTATTTTATTCACCCATGTAACTCAAGTTTATTAGGAATTTACAAAGTTTCAAAAAAAGGTCCTTTACACAGTTTTTCTATTGACATAATTCAAGAAAAATTAGTTTGTTTACCTTTAGACCTGACACATGAATCAATGGTAGTAATACCATTTGTGCATTCTGTATGACAATTAACAAGGTTAGATTTAATTATAGTGGCTATTTATAAAACAAATATACAGTAGTTGCATTAAAACTCAACAAGTTATAAATATATAGTAAAATATTTTTGAAACTATGAAATGAATTAATTTTTTGTACTTGTTTTAGGACTTGGATTGTAGTACTTTTCAACGAAAAGAATTGCATTCAAAATGTTCCACTGAGTTGGTTCATTGCCAAAAACGGATCACAGGCTGGGAGATGTTGGTATCCTTACAGCAAAAATGAGTTTCTGAGCTCTAAAATTCATTTTAATAATGATCAAATTACTAAAATGATATCAAAAAAATACAATCCAAACAATAGTGATGGGACCTGGTTTATTTCAGAAAAGATTGCTGGCCCATTTGGTAATTCTTTTACACATTTTGATGTATTAGTTAAATTAGATCCATATGAAAAGTATCCCCTGTAATTTAATTTTACAATAAATTTCACTGATTATTTTTTGCAATTTTCAAATGTTTGAAATATAGTTAAGAGTATAAATTACCATCAGTTGTACCATAAACTTAAATCTTTAAATCTTAAAAAACAGGTATTACGCACTTCAAAGTTTTTTTGATTGATCTGTTAATTTAAAAATACAAACAAACTATTAATTATGGTGTTTAACACTTAATTTAAATCTTAATTTTTAAGTAAGATTATTTTCCTTAAATTTTTTCATTTTAATGAAGACAAAGAAATTGATTCAAGAAAAGTTGCTAAAGAATGGTCGGGTACTTCAAATGATTGTGAAAATGAAAGTAACTGTCCAATTAATGATACTGATTATGCAGAGAGTGATGATAGTAATTCATCTATTATTACAAATGTTAGAAACCGAAAAAAATCAAAAAGATACTCCTCAAAATCTTTTATCACTCAAAAACAAACATTGCAATTTCCATGTCCCCCTAAAAAAAAATTAAAGGGCAATATAGAATCTCAAAACAAAAAAAGAAAAATATGTTTACAAGCAGGTAATTATTATAATTAAGTTATCTATTATTTNCAAGCAGGTAATTATTATAATTAAGTTATCTATTATTTCTGTAATTTAAAAACATATATACTTAATTTTTATAAATGATATATGTATCACTGAAACATAATTTTTTGTTTTTATTATAAAGTACTTATATTCCATTATATTCCTACATAAAAAGGTTGCTATAAATTAAAATTTATTTAAGGAGTGTAGCAATGATAAATGTTTTCATAGAAAATTGAAATAAGAATATACAATAACCTCTTATTTAAATAACTAATACATTTCATGTGTGAAATTTCTTAGTATCTAAATTAACAATTTGTATAATATATAAATGCTAGTTTATATGGAAGTTAACTGTGTATATTATTTGTCTTAATTTTTTATTACTATCATTAATCTATTAGATCATTCATCAGAGCTCATCACTGGTGATACTACCAATGACTATTCTATAGCTGTAGAATCATCACAGATGGCTGCAGAATCAGAAGACATGAAGCTACTAGAAGTTTTAAACAATAGTGATGACTTGAGCATGTCAGAGTTCAAAGGTATTATAAAATAAATAATTTTAAATACCTCTCTACCTAATTAACAAATAAATGGTTATTGATAAATAATTATTGAATTTAGATGAACATTTTTGTACAGATTCTATTGAAGATACTCATTCTAACATAAATCAACCGATAATTATTGCAATTCCTTCTCAAAATGTAAGCTTAAGAATAGATTTACAAAAAATCACTTAATATGTTTGATTATTTTATATTTATTAAGTGTAATTTTATAATTGTAAACTCATGTACTTAGTTGCATGATGACAAAACAGTAGATAAAAACACTATGCCAAATAATCAAGCAGAATTTGTAGAAACAACACATGTTTTGCCAGGTGCGTACTGTTATATAAAGTATATACATATAATTGGAATGCTACTAGTCACAATTGTGACTAAATCCAAAATGTTTAATTATCTGGGAACATAAAAGAAAATGTTATGAATAATGTATATAACATTTCTAATTTATTTAGAATAAAAACTTTAATTACATTTTACAAATTATACAAGATGAAATAAATGATATAATCATCGTTATAAAGAAAAAACCCTATTTGCTGTTATTTAATATAAATATTTAATAACTGATCTACTAAATATTAAAAAAATGATGTTTTGTCAAAATTAAAAAACATTTCATAATTACTTTTAGATAATTTGAATGACACCTCATGTTGCTGTAGTCTGATCAAGGATCTTATTAAAAAACAAGAACAGTGTTTTATTCAACAGATTATGACAAATTCGAATCAGGTTAAAATATGCAATTACTTAGAAAACCTTGATAAGAAAATTAATAAATTATTGGAGAGTGACAAAAGGACACAAAACTTATCTTATCCGCTTCCTAAACTTCCTGCCCCGTTTCTTGAATTAATACCCATATCAAGTATGGCCAATTTAGAAGCTGTTGAAAAACTTTTAACTCCAGACTACAACTTTGGTCACAACGCTGAAGAATTTGTAGGTTTTTTTGACACAATTTGTTATAAATATTTACATAATCAGTACTAACCACGAACTAAAATAAAAAATAGACTTGACATAAATAGATCGGCGGCAATGGATAGTGCGATATAGAAAAATTCCGTAGAGGCAATATCTGGCGAGCAGTTAGCTCTAGCGATAAAACATGTTTTCAAGATACAAAATTTTAATAACGGAGTGGGATAATTAGGAAAATAAGTGTAAAATAATAGACGGCAGCGTTTATTCAAAATCCTCCTACGATAAATTGTATAACGAAACCGGATTGCCTGATAAAGCCTCGTGTCCAGTCTATTTTATCTTAATTTATGGTTATAACCTTACAAATGCATTGATAGTTAAGTGCATGCATGTTTTAATTATTAATATTATGCACGCACCTGGATCAGTTCATAGACGCAACGCGTCCCATTTATACAGTGTCATTTTGGACAAATTTTTTTTAATTTTAACTATTTTCCAATAACGCCACTGAAACATTGATGTTTATTATAAATCAATTGATTTCAAAAAACGTTTAACAATAACATACAGGAAATCAACAATTTGCTTTCCAGGCGAGAGTCCAGCTTGCACTAACAGGAGGGGTGGATTAATAATATATTTATATATATATATATATATATTATTTATATAAAGCCATCAATGAGCTACTCTGTATTCATATCTGTTGCTTTCAATTGTACATATTTTTTCTTGTTTCATTCTAAATAACAGTGTCCGGCTCAAGGGCGGGGCTCGTTCTCTACTCGTGCCTCGCACAAAGCATTAGCATAGTTATTTTCTTATGACCCCCTCCAAATAAAAAAAAAATAGCGTTTAACATATAATAATTTTTACTAGGAGGATCTATCCCAATCAATTCCCTCCTTCTAGACACAAGGATCCAGCAAAACCTAGTGCCGACACTGATTAATAATTATTGATCAGTATTAATACTTCTTATTTATAATCAAAATACATAATTCTAGTTTTTATTATATTTTTAATATTTATCATAAGCTCTTATTTTATTTTAACTGTCGTTTTACCAATAGTTGTAGCAATATAATTTGTACCTTCTTTTGAAAATGCATAATTAACATTTTCAAAATATCATTTCAAATAGAGTATATACACACCTCATTTCCTATTGAAACGACACTGAGTTTTTAGTGTTCATAACGACTAAAATATTTTATCATTTTTTTCTTTTCAGAAAAATTTTTTGTTGCTTAAAGTGGCTACCATTAAAAATTTTAGTACATGTACGAGAACAGCATTTGATTTTTGTATGACACGAGAAATGGCCGCAAATTTTAGTTTTTGTGGCAAAACTAAACAAGCTTTTAATAAGCTTCACATTTTTAAAGTACTTCGTGGTATGAACATTAAATTTTAATAAATATTCAAATTGAATATGTTGATATATTGATAGCGCGCTAGTAAAGCGAACTAAATCTGAAAGATTAATTTTGAAACCACAAAGAAAAAATAACTTTTTAATTTATAATACATTTTTCATAGAAAAATTTACTTGTATGATTTTGGGGTGTCGCGTGTACAGATCACGCTATGTTGGTTAAAATACTGTCATAAAATACGCCATAATGTTTCAAATAATATGAATATTGTTGGTGGAAATCTCAAACAGACTCACTCCTTTTTATTGCAGTGAAAACATACTGGTTATATCATAGCACAATTAGTATTTTTATTCTTCTCTAAATAACAGTTAAAATATCATTGGATAAAAAGAGATAAAGAGGATGCTACAACCTGTATACAGGAACGACTCTAATAGTAAATTTTAGGGGGTGTGAAGTGAATTTTGCCGTCTAAGTACTTTCGTGGGTACAAAATTACACAATTTATTCTAAAAATTCCGACTTAAGACTTATGATTTAAGTAATTTTTTGGGGGAGTCCCCCACTTTTCAATGAAATTGCTCCTTCTATACAGCATGTTTTACCTTTACTCCATCAATCTGTAGTATAGATATACTACATTGTTCAATAAATAAAGAAAAACAAGTCAATTGTTACGAACAATGGGAAGTCATCTCCTCACTTTTTGAATCCTTTTATATTCTATACAAATATATTTATTAGTTATTATATGTACTAATGTTTGTTTATTTTTTATTTTTTAGATGCTATGTCTGGCCAAATCATAATACCTGAACACGAAAAAACATTTAACAAAATAATAGCTAATATTTTAAAGCATTCTGGCAATAATAAAGCATCACAGCAATAAAATCCTTTTTTTTTTTTTATTATTCAATCAACATTTCATTTTTTTGTAAATGATTTTTAAAATTTATTTACTTAGATTATTTCACAGTTTTTTTTATTAATAGTAAAAACAAAATATAGCATTTAGGAATCAATATAAAAACAGTAAAAAAAAAAACATGGTAATCTTATGCCATCTTATTGAATGCTACTTATGTGTTTTACTTCTTTTGTTATACTTATGGCAATGATTTTCATTTATTCAATTTCATGGAAATTAAATTAAAATTACTAATTGTTTTTATAACCACAGTAATATTTTTTGTTATATCAACTATTGCAATTTCACAATTTTCTGTACTAATATTAACTATATATTTCTTGTCTAAACTGTATAACACCTTAGTGATTAACTTATTATGATAAAAAATTTTTATTGGATTTTTTTGATATATATTGTACAACAATAAATCAAACTGAGTTACAGTAAATAAATGGCTGACATTGCTAACATCATTATTTTTATTTAAAATTAACTATTGTTATTAATTTATATTAATTATAATCAAATTGTATGAATGAATTGTTTACTAATTATCATTTAATATAAAATAAACCTAAAATTCGAAGGTTAACTATTTTATTTTATATTTACATATAATATATTTTATTTTATACATTGTGTATATAGTAATACAATTTATTATTTTAAAATTATAAAATGTTTGAATATTTACAAAACCTATAAATTTAATTTTAAATACCGTAACTGCTAATGAACTAATGAACGCTTAATGAACCGTCGTAGAGCTTGCTTTTATTGAACTAATGAACGATTATTGAACTGTTATCGAGGGTTTTATAGTTGAACCGAGGAACGGTCTTTGAACTCTTACTGAACTTTTGTAGAACTCGGTTCACCCCATGTTAAAATCCGTATTCAAATCTCATTTTGAACCGTGCTGTGAACGGGTTTTGAACTGAGTTCAGCACCGTTGTTACTATATTAAATGAACCCAGTATGAACTCGAATTGCTACTCGGGTTTGAATCCCTCTTGTGGCCAGGAAACGGGTTAGATTTATAAAAAAAAACCAAATAATAAAAACATGCATCTAAATAAAAAAAAAATATACTGATTTGGTCATTTTTGATAAAGTGATAACAGTTAACAAAGTTATGAGTTTTATACACTGGACTACAAGGAACTTCCATCAGAAACAAAAATATACTATTCTAAATCAACTTTTCTCGATGTTTTCAAATATGCAATTAAACTTTTTCTATCACTTCTAAATTTTAATATTATTACTTATTATTAAAAAATAATTAAGAACAAAAAAAATTGTTTTTAATTAATACTGATTTTGATTATTAATATGTTAAAATAAGGAAAATTACATATTTAACCTAGTTTTTTAATAGTTTAAAGTTGATTGTTGTAAATGTTTAAAATGAAAAAAAATAATTTATTGTACCATAACTTCTAGCTCAATTGGCAAGTTTGACATTGACATCATTAAATAGAAAATTTCCTAGTAACTTTTGGTGTTTGAAAAGATTCTGCAATTGAAATATTCAGAACTTTAATGATTTACTTTTGTTGCGTCTGGTTCAATATGTATAATAAATAAATTGATAATTACGAATGTTTATTAATTGTGGACTGTATCTTTTATTATTATTTTATTGTAAGCTGGCGACTTTTCCGCGCACGTACGTATATCGAGCATAACTGGTCTTATATTGGTCGGAGACCATCATTATTATTGCTNCGACCATCATTATTATTGGTATCGCTTAATCGCGTGATAACGAGCGCGAACACACCGCCTACCTTGAAATAACACATTTCAATAGAATCAATATAAAGTACATATAAATAATAAGATTATGACAAACAATTGACCCACATTCATGGCCAAAAATATAAACAATAATTCTGTAAAACATTCTCAGATAAATAACAAATAATTAGAACTTAGAACTAACATATCATGCTTTAAATAAATTACAAATAATTAAATTAATATATAAATAAATAATAAAAATTAAGGTAACTAAATTTAGCAACAAACATTAGCTTCAGGACACTTTAACAATGAACATATTTTATAATAGAGATACAAATAATATATAATACATTACATACATAAAAAAAAAACAACAAGAGTTTATATCACAATATTTAGACTAGATATTATTGTTATTTTTTTTTTCAAATCATAAGCATTTTAACATAATTTACTAAACATACATTTTAAACATTTTTAATTATTTGAACTTGCTGTACAATTTCCCTCGAAAGGTAATGGACATAATTGACGAACAGCTCGTTTATATACACCGGTTGCTGTACGGATAGTAGCCACTCGTACGACACCGTCAGAACCACTATGAACTTCCATTATTATTCCAATTGACCATTTTAAAGGGGGCAAGTTTTCATCACGCATGAGAACTACAGTGTTTTTCTTCAAACCAGGACCATTTGATTGTGACCATTTTTTTCGCTCTTGTAACTGATTGAGATACTCGTTCTTCCATCTAATCCATATTTTTTGCGTAATTTGAACAACACGCCTCCAGCGAGTTAGTCTGTTCTCCATAATATTCGTTACGTCACGTTCGGGAAAAGCGGATAGTGAGTCACCTATCAAAAAATGACCAGGTGTTAAAACCGATAAGTCACTTGGATCCGTGGAAAAAGGTGTCAACGGTCGCGAATTTAATATGGCTTCTACTCGAACAAGTATTGTATATAACTCTTCATAGTTAAACAGAGCATTACCAATCGATTTGAGCAAATGTGCCTTAACAGATTTAACAGACGCCTCCCACAATCCGCCAAAGTGAGGACTACGGGCCGGAATAAAATGCCATTGAATTCCTTTATTACTTGATTCATTTTTAACTTCTGGTTTAGCTAAAAGTTCATGCACTTCTCGAAGTTGTCGATTAACCGCAACAAAATTTTTTCCGTTATCTGAATACACGTCCGTACAATAACCACGTCTATCACAGAATCTCCGTAACGCATTAAGGAAAGACTCCGCTGTCAAATCGCCTACTAATTCTATATGAATAGCTTTTGTGACAAGACAAACCCAGATACTGATATACGCTTTAGTCTTAGGCGCGTTTCTTCGCAAACTAGACCGCACAAACACTGGACCAGCAAAATCTACGCCACATTTAACAAAGGCTCGCGCTGGTTCGACTCGGTCCTTAGGTAAGTCACCCATGATGGGCTCAAATACAACCGGTTTGTATTTGAAACATTTGACACATTTTCTAGATATATTTCTGGCTATATTACGTCCATTAATCGGCCAATATCTCAAACGTATATTAGCTAACATCGCTTGTGGACCGGCGTGTAATGATTTTTCGTGTTCATCCAGAAATAATAATTTTGTAAAAGCACTATCAGCGGGTAACACTATCGGATGTTTTTGAAAAAATGATAGTGAGACGGCATGTTTTAATCTACCGCTTACCCTGATTATACCATCGTTGTCTAGAAATGGTTTAAGACGAAAAAGTTTATTTTTACTGGACACTAATTTTGAGTTTTTTAAGTCACACAACTCAGTAAAAAATTCTTCTTGTTGCGCTACCTTCACTAATCGTTTAAGGGCATTTTCAATTTCTGTAGCTTCAACAGGACCATAAATATTAGTGTCACTCGATAAAAAATTAGACTTCACACGAAGACAATAAGCCACAACACGTAAAAGTTTACTTAATGAAGAAAATAATTTAAAAATTTGATTAAAAGAATTATTTTCCGTTGTTAAGAATAAATTAGTAATTACTTTTTCTTCAGACAAATATTCACTTTTATAAGTAAGTTCTTGAAAGTTACTTGGCCATTGAGTATGTTCCCCTTTCAACCAACTAGGTCCGTTCCACCATAAATCTAAACCTTTCATTTGTGATGGAAAACAGCCTCTTGACACTATGTCCGCTGGATTGTCGCTGGACGCAACATGCCTCCATTGTGAAACAGACGTTAACTCTTGTATTTCACTTACTCTGTTTCCCACAAAAGTTTTCCAACGAGACGACGGAGATAATAACCAATTTAATACCAGTGTCGAATCTGTCCAATAAAAATATTCATTTATAGGTAACTGTAATTTTGATGCATATTTTGACATAAGGCGAGCGGCCAAAAGCGCAGCTAACAGTTCGAGCCGAGGTAACGAAACTACCTTTAATGGCGCGACTCTTGATTTTGCACACAATAAATTTATTACTACTTTACCATAAATGTCTGTAGCGCGTGTGTATATACAAGTACCATAGGCTTGCATACTTGCGTCAGCGAACGCGTGTAATTCTAGTTTTTTAATTTTTTCGATGCCGAGAACTAGACGATTGATTTTAATATTATTAATTTGCTCCAGTTCCACACGCATTTTTGACCAATCTTGTTGTAATGGAATAGGTAAAACGTCATCCCAATTTATTTTTTGCAACCATAACTGTTTGTAATGTTGCAGAATTGATACAAGTTTTTTTATATATTTAAATCTTATAAATTAGAGTAGAGGTGTGTGCAATAGGTGTAGAGTATTTTCATAATTTT